TATAACCTCTGTGGACTTGTACTCAATATTGCTGAAGATACCATCTAAAATCCTATTTGCCTTACCACTAGCAACAGCTTGGATGTCTCCAAAGACTGATCAACTATTACACCATAATCCCTTTATTTCATGACACTATTAAGGTTATTCCCATCTAAATTATAATTATTATTGAAATTATGATAACCCATGTGCATTATCTTGCATTTATTATAATTAAAACTCATCTGCCATTTATTTTATCCAACTCACTAAATGATCTAAATCATTTTGTAAAGCAGCAGCATTCTCTTCACAGTTAACAACACCCAAGACGTTAATATCATCAAGAGATTTAAGTAATTTATTGACCATTCCTTCATCTATGTTGTTGATGTATATCAAAAAGAGTGAAGGTCCTAAGACTGAGCCCTGAGGTGCCCCCACTTGTGACATTAATCCAGTTTGACTGAACTCCATTTGTAACAACCCTCTGCTTTTTTTCCATCTGGCCATTTTTCTAACCATGGCTGGAGACGGCTTGAATGGGTAATGAAGAAAAACTTTAATATAACAGCAAATGTACAACGTTTCGACAAGGTTTTGTCATCATCAGGTCTCCAGCCATTATTAGTCTCAAAGTGGGTTCCTCGTCATCGAATTCTTCTAACCAGTTTGCTAACTTATCCCTCATACCTCTAGAGATAATGTTTTTACAAGCCTTTTATGTGGCACCTTGTCAAATGCTTTCTAAAAATCTTGATACACCAAATCTAAACTCTTAACATAATCTACATAAGCAGTAACTTTTTCAAAGAATGTTAAAAGATTTGTAAGGCAAGATTTTCTCTTAGTCAATCTATGTTGACTATCCAGTAAAATTCTAAACTTCATTAAATGTCTTTGCAAAGCATCTCTTATCAAACTTTCCAAAATGTTTCCCACAACTGATGTAAGACTAATAGGCCAATAATTACTGGGACAATTTTTATTAGCTCCCTTGAAAATAGGAGTGACATTAGCTAACTTCCAATCCTTTTACACCAGCCCACTATTCAAGGATTTACAAAAAATAGTAGCAAATGGCTCACATATCTTCCTTCAAAAGCCTTGGGGAAATATTATTTGGCCGAGGAGCCTTATAATTTTTTAAGCTTCACAATTGTTTCTTAACAAGCTCAGAATCAATGCATTCATCTTGTTCGACCTTGTTTCCATCTATCAAGATGAGAAATATTGCTTAAATTTTCGTTAGTAAAAACCGATGAAAAAGAAAAATTAAATAACCCAGCCACTTCATAATCATCAGATACTAGCCTTATTTTATCATCTCTCAAAGGTTCTACCCCCATCCAAACATTTTGTTTACCCTTAATGTATTTAAGGAAATCCTAACTGTTAATTTTTAAATTTTCAGCCAGCCTTTTCTCATACATCCTTTTTGATGTCCTAATTTTCTGTTTCACCAACTTTCTTTATCTTCTATATCTCCCATCATACCAGTCAATTTAAATTTCTTAAATTTATTATGCTTTTCTTTAATTTTATCTCTTAAACTCTTTGTGAGCCAACCTGGTTCTTTACTTGCAGCTACCCCTTTTCTTTCTATAAGGAATATATTTACCTTGAATATTAAAAAAATTATCTTTAAAAATTTTCCACATCTGATCAGTGTCTCCAAGTTACTCAGCTGCTCAGTTCACAACAGATAATTTTTGTTGTATACCTTCAAAATTTGCTTTTTTGAAATTTATAACCAAAATATCATTATTTCTTATTTCTATATGCAACAAAATACTGAACCCAGATATTCTCCAATTTCCACCCTCTCAACTATTTCTATATTAGAAGTTAACTAAGTCTAAAATAGAATTGTTTCTAGACGGTTCCTTGACTAATTGGTGAAGAAAGCCATCTTGAACAGTTTCCAAAAAACTTTCTCCCTCACAGTTTGACTCTAGCATTTCCCACTCTATATGTCTAAAATTAAAATCACCCATAATTGTAACTCCATTAACAGTTAAGTCTTGATCTCATTGTAACGTTTCTAACTAATTTCATCTGTATCATTTGGTGGTCTGTAACAAATTCCCACTAAAAACCTTTTCCCTTTATATCCACTAATAGCAATCCAAGTGGATTCAATCTCCTTGCTGTTATCTTTGATATCCTCAACTTCAACAGGATGTAACTCACATTTTACATATAAAGCCATTCCTTCCCCTCTTTAATACTCTATCTCTATTA